TGTAGCATTTCGCTACAGTTTAATTCTTTGTATTGTTAGCCGACACTCACTACTATAAAGGCTTGGTTTGGTCCGATATTTCATTTGTAGTAGTGTCCAGGGTCACTGATGAGGAATGGAATTCTCTGAAACTAGTCTGGCTCACAGACACACACCCCAGTAAAAGAATAGACCATTCCAAGCTTTTACTTGTTGTTAAACAAATGTTTAAACAACTCTATTTATTCAATAACAAGCAAAAGTTGTAGAAAAAGGACATTTAATTGTGTGAGATGAATGAACAATGTCTCACAAGCTTGCTTTTGAAGCACTTGATTGCACTATGCAAGACTTCAGAGGGAATAACCTAAAGGGTAGAATTACATCAATAATTTCTGGACACTTACGCCAAACTCTTCTCGTGGTACCCCAGCAGATGAACTAAATGCATGCATCAAGTTATCCTATATTTGGAACCATGTTGAAACATATCATCTTCGAACCAACATGAAAGTCAGATTGCATGGAGATCGCACTGCTCAACAATTTGTTAATGTTTTCCTTAAAATTGGCAATGAGAGCTTGCCACCGTCTGAAAATGGAGAAATATCTTTGCACTCTGATAGTGGAGTAATAGTACAAACACTTTAAGAGCTGAAAAATAAAGTGCATTCAAACATAGCTCTCAATTACAAAAATCCAAAGTAGTTGTGTGAGAGAGCAATTCTTGCACCAAGGAATAATGCAGTCAGTATAATAAATGAACAGTTGATGAAAGAAATCCCAAGTCAGCAAAAACACTACAAGTCAATAGATACAGCTATTGATTCTGGTGGAGTTGTGCAATACCCAACTGGGTTCCTTAATTCTTTAGAGCATTGTAAATCCATAGCTTTAATGTTGATCAATCGTATGGAAGTATCAACAATATTAAACTCTGTGAACGTCACAAACAGAATCTAAGATAAGTTTGGGAATTTGGAGAGTTTTGTCAAAGTCAAGAATATTGAGCTTCTGGTTTTTATGAAACAGTAAATCCGGTGGTGATAATGCAATGGCCTAAAATATATAGATGATATTCAACTTACTGTTCACCAGTTCGAGTAGTGAGCAGACTAGTCCAATAAATTGTAAATTAGTTAATAACATATTTTTGTGTTCCATTTAATAGTGCAGGGCAGAATGATAGTGCAAAGTGGAAACATATCAATAATTCAATAATAGTGCAGGATTATTTGGAAGACGAGTGTATGGTATATTAAAATAACAAATATATTGTTAAAACATCTTGCCATAATTATCAATAATTGTGACATGAATATAATTTATGAAAAATTACACTTCACAAGCTCCCAGTGGCATAACGGTATGTCTGCAGTTTTACAAAGTTTGAAACTGGGTTTCTTTGCCCATTGGATAGCTTTGTACTTAATTAGAAGCAAATACTTCACAAAGTTAATAGCAGTTTGCTAACATAAATAGCTTTCACTTGGAAGTTCTTAAAGTTTGAGAGTGATTTTTCAATTTCAAATAAAAACTTAGCAAAATCTTGGTTGTTTGTTTGAATATTTAATTTCGCACAAAGCTACACGAATGTGATTTGAGATAACTGTCCCTAATTTTTTTTATTGACAGAATAGAAAGAATACAACTAGGAAGCATCACACAATGCCAACTCTTGGGCTATTCTTGTCAAACCGATCAGTGGGATTTGACCATCGCTCTTATAACACCATTAGTTATATATTTTTAACAGTAATGTAACATGAACTGTGGAACCAAAAGTACACTACCCATTGGACTACGTTCGGTCCCTTTAACAAAATAAACCTTTGTGATAACTCTATTGTATGTGAATATATCAAGTGTTTCTATCATCTTGTAACATCATAGTATTTATTTTGAATTTATATTTCTTCTGTACATGTATAGTTTCACGTAACCTATAGTGGAGAAGAAGGTCGTTAAGTTTGTTTCATTTTGTTATCTTTTTTCCTTTGTCATTCTCGAGTAGATAATACCTGTTCCATTCAAGAATGGTTTGTCTGCAATGCTGCACGTTGTGCAAGGATATCAATAGTAATGTCCTCTGAATTTTGTTTAGGTTTATTTCGTGCAGTTTTCCGTAAACACATGCAACATAAAACTGTGGAACTGTTTTTATTTGAGTATCCTTTTTTGTCCTTTTGTAGATCATATCTGTTCTGCCTTCAGTCATATTGCTGCAACTTTGCATATTGTTCAAGTAGGTCAACGACAGCAGTGCCCATCACAGGCCAAGTATATGTTATCTAGATGTTACAGCATTTACTATTAGTCATTATTGGTAAATCCAACGTTTCCTGTTCAATAAGTTGTGTTTTATGAACACAATTCTATTTGGTTATCAACATAAGTTGGTTGATGGAAAGACAAACTGCGGGACTAAAACTGTTAATTGATTCACTGATAACTATTACAAGGTGACAACCCTGTGTTATATATTTTTTTGCTTAGTGATATAAATAAAGACTGTTTTACACTTTACATCACGTGTCCAGTCTGTTTATTCTCTTACATTAAAACTCAGTTGTTTAGTCACTTTCAGATTTACCCTGCATTTATCCCCCATGAATTTCCCATTAAAAAGTGGACCCACCTAATACTCTTTGAATAAATCAGTTAATCCGAGAATACCATAATATCTTGAGGTTACTACCTCCATTATATTTCTATGAGATTAACCAAAGTGATATACGTGACATATACATCCTGAGAGTATAGATATTTGGAATATATTGTTATATTCTTACAGTTAGCTCCCTGAGGTTCCACCGCTCTGTTTGGTAAGTGAAGTTTAAGTCCTTTTTTTGTAGAGAGTAATACTCTCCTAAAATTTAATATATGATGTTATTCTGTAATTTAACCTATAATTCTTAGTACACATATTTGAAGGTTGTTAGGAAGGTATGGAAGATTAACCATATGTTCTGTCTTTCATCTTGTACACACATTATTTTGATTATTTACAAGTATAAATTAATATTATTCCATTGTGTTTTTGTATATTTGTGTCCAGTCTTTCTTTCTCAAACTCAGCTGAAGCCCATAATATCAGAATTAATTTGTAATATATATCTTGTTGAACTTCTTATTATTAAGTGA